TCCCTGTTCACCTGGGTGTTAGTCAACTGGTGTGGGTTGCATCCTGGGAGACAAGATTAAGGACCCCAATGGAAATAAGTTAGACAGTCTTCGATGACACTGACTTTTTTGGGTTATCCTGGGTGGCAAATCCTCTGCGGTTAATTGTTTTTTGGTATTCTCAATAAGCCACACCAACAACGGTGCTACAGCAGCAGCAGCAGCAGCAGCTGACAGTGCTACAGCAGCAGCAGACGATGCTACAGCAGCAGCAGACGGTACTACAGCAGCAGCAGACGGTACTACAGCAGCAGCAGCTGACGGTGGTACAGCAGCAGGAGCAGCTGACAGTGCTACAGCAGCAGCAGACGATGCTACAGCAGCAGCAGACGGTACTACAGCAGCAGCAGACGGTACTACAGCAGCAGCAGCAGCAGCTGACGGTGGTACAACAGCAGCAGCAGCTGACGGTGCTACAGCAGCAGCAGCAGCAGCTGTACCACCAATAGTAGCGATGGTTGATTGGGGTTTATTATACAACCTGGCCAGCTCGGAGACACGCACTCCACTTTCATACTTATCAATGATCTTTTACTTCATCTCTATAGTAATTCTCACCCTTATTGCTGTAGGGTTGGCACTAGAAGCTTTCTTGGGGCCCATGGTCACTTACCTTGCAGATAAAATCACCAAAAACACTGTAATAATACGAAATGTTCCGATTGTATGCTTGGATGTTACCGCGGAGGCTGGCTGGTAAACAATGCCACCGGCGGCACATGTGAGGCTGGCTAAGGGCGCACATTGGACGCGTCTCGGACGAAGAGCGGTGAGCGGGTTTTTGAGCGGTATGCGAGGCAAAATTTTTGCGATAAAAGCGAGCGGTATGCGGATTGTACGTTATGTGATGGCGACGGTATGCGGGGGTCCACTGTACTCAGTAAACTTTTATCCACCAATATATAATCTACCTACTTTCATTACGTGCTATATCATACCTTGTATATTTATTTCCCCTCTTTTTCATAAAATATGTATTACTTATTACCAAACCTCTTTCTTCACATAGCTCAGTTAACCCTTAAGCTGTCCAAACGTAGATGTACGTTGACGTGCGGCAGGCTCCGAGCGTAGATCTTTTTTTTCGTGCTTTCAAATGGGGGAAAATCAAGGTCAGAGCGCTACGCACGTGAACGTAGATCTACATTTGGACAGTTTAAGGGTTAAAGGCTCCCCATTTTCATTTACCCCTGGCACCCCAAATTTACCTATTACTCCCTCCACAACATTTTTACCCACTTTAGCATTAAAATCCCCAACCACAAGTACTCTCACACTTGATTCAAAACTCTCCACACACTTGTTCAACAATTCCCAAAACCTCTGTTTCTACTTTACACTTCTCTCTTCTCCAGGTGCATATACACGTACTATAATCCACTTTTCACATCCAACCTTTATTTTATTCCACATAATCCTTGAATTAATACATTTATAGTCCCTCTTTTCCTGCCATAGCTTATCCTTCAACATTATTGCTACTCCTTCTTTAGCTCTAACTCTATTTGAAACCCCTGACCTAATCCCATTTACTTCTCTCCACTGAAACTCTCCCACCCCCTTCAGCTGTGTTTCACTTAAAGCCAGGACATCCAGCTTCATCTCATTCATAGCATCCACAATAATCTCTTATCATTCGCACACCATCCATGCACGTTCAGACATCCCACTTTGACAATTTTCTTCTTTTTAGTAATCTGTACAGGAAAAGGGGTTACTAGCCCATTGTTCCCAGCATTTTAGTTGACTTTTACAACACGCATGGCTTACAGAGGAAAGATTATCCCACTTCCCCGTGGATATAAAATTAAAAGTAATAATAACAAGAATTATTAAGATAAAATCAAAGAAAACTCAGATGAGTTTGTATAAATAAACATATACATGTATGTGTAGTGTGATGTAAGTGTAAGTAGAAGTAGCAAGATGTACCTGTAATCTTGCATATTTATGAGAGAGACAAAAGACACCAGCAATCCTACCATCACGTAAAAAAATTACAGGCTTTCGTTTTACACTCACTTGGCAGGACGGTAGTACCTCCCTGGGTGGTTGCTGTCTACCAACCTACTACCTATAATAATAATAATAATAATATTATTATTATTATTATTATTATTATTATTATTATTATTATTATTATAATCAAGGGAGAAGTGCTAAACCTGAATGATTATAGTGCCTGTGGGGAGATGTGGGAGGTATTCAGGTTTAATTCAGGGAACTGGAGCACAGATCCAGTTCCCTAGATCAAGAGCCCCTCACCAGCATCAAGGAACCTTCCTTGAGGGGTACATACCTACATATACCGGCTACCTACATCTGACTTCCTACAAATGAGTACTACTCACCTCTTGCCCTTCATTAAGACTATAAATATTTTAGGGTAAGTAATGAATGTACTGTGTATGTATTTTACTTGTGTTTCTTAATGCCTGGTTCTATTACAAACTTAATAAAAGTTAGTGTAAACTTGTTGTCTGGCATTTATATGCATTTTGTAAGTGGAAAAAATGGCATTCTGCTTTACAGCAGTAGCCTGGAACCTAACTTACTGTATAAGTCGGGCCCTACTGTGCATGCATGTGTAGTATGACCTAAGCAGAAGTAGCAAGACATACCTGAAACCTTGCATGTTTATGAGAGAAAAAAGACACTAGCAATCCTACCATGTAAAAATTTTACAGGCTTTCATTTTACTCACCTGGCAAGATGGTAATACCTCCCTGGGTGATTGCACTCAACAGACTTATTCCCCTATACAAAGGAACTGTGCATTGTAGCTCCCAATCCCTAGGTACCTTACCCTCTTCCATACATTTATTAAATAAAAGCACCAACCACTCCAAAACTATATCCCCTGCTTTTAACATTTTTATCTTTATCCATCAATCCCAGCTGCCCTACCCCCTTTCATTTTACCCACTGCCTCATGAACTTCCTCCACACTCACAACTGGCTCTTCCTATAAGATGTTATTCCTTCTTGCCTTATGTACAAAAACACAGCTTCCCTATCTTCATCAACATTTAACAATTCCTCAAAATATTCCCTCCATCTTTCCGATACCTCTAACTCTCCATTTAGTAACTCCCCTCTCCTGTTTTTAACTATCAGATCCACTCGTTCCCTAGGCTTCCTCAACTTATTAATCTCACTCCAAAACTTTTTCTTAGTTTCAACAAAATTTGTTGATAACATCTCACCCACTCTCATTTGCTCTCTTTTTACATTGCTTCACCACTCTTAACCTCTCTTTTTCTCTCTATATACTCCTCCCTCCTTGCATCACTTCTACTTTGTAAAAACCTCTCATATGCTAACTTTTTCTCCCTTATTACTCTTTACATCATCATTCCACCAGTCGCTCTTCTTTCCTCCTGCACCCACTTTCCTGTAACCACAAACTACTGCTGAGCACTCTAACACTACTCTCTTGAACCTTCTCCATACATCTTTGACCCCATTGCCTGTACTCTCATTAGCCCATCTATCCTCCAATAGTTGTTTACATCTTACTACCCTCTCTTTCTTACTTGCTGCTTCTATTTTCCTTGTATCCCATCTACCCTTTACTCTCATGTAGCTACAACTAAAAAGTGATCTGATATATCTGTGGCCCCTCTATGAACATGTACATCCTGAAGTCTACTCAACAGTCTTTTATCTACCAATACGTAGTCAACAAACTACTGTCATTATGCCCTACATCATATCTATGATGTTGGACATAATGACAGTATACTTATCCTCATTTCCTTAAAATATGTATTACCTGTAACCAAACCCCTTTCTATACAAAGTTCAATCAAAGGGCCCCCATTATCATTTACACCTGGCACCCCAAACTTACCTACCACACCCTCTTAATGTTTCTCCTACTTTAGCATTTAGGCCCCCTATCTCAATTACTCTCTCACTTGGTTCAAAAGTTCCTACACACTTGCTTAACATCTCCCAAAATCTCTCTGTCCTCTACACTCCTCTCTTCTCCAGGTGCATACAGTTATTATAACCCACTTTTTGCATCCGACCCTTATTTTAATCCACATAATCCTTGAATTTGTACATGTATATTCCCTCTTCTCCTTCCATAACGGATCCTTCAACATTACTTCTACCCCTTCCTTAGCTCTAACTCTTTCAGATACTCCTGACTTAATCCCATTTATTTCTCCCTACTGAAACTCGCCTGCCCCCTTCAGCGTTGTTTTGCTTAGAGCTAGGACACCCAACTTCTTTTCATTCATAACATTGGCAATCATCTTATCTGCACTACATCAAGCATACCAGTTTTATAAAGTTTTGCTTATCTTTTTTAGTGTTTTCTACAGGAGAAGGGGTTACTAGCCCATTGCTCCTGGCATTTTAGTCTCCTCATACAACACGCATGGCTTACGTAGGAAAGATTCTTTTCCACTTCCCCATGGAGAAAAGAGGAAATAAAGAACAAGAACTATTAAGAAAAGGAAGAAGAAACCTAGATGTGTGTGTATATATATGCATGTGCATGCCTGTGTAGTGTGACCTAAGTGTAAGTAAAAGTAGCAAGATATACCTGTTATCTAGCATGTTTATGAGACAGAAGAAAGACACCAGCAATCCTACCATCATGTAAAACAATTACAGATTTCTGTTTCACACTCACTTGGCAGGATGGTAGTACCTCTCTGGGTGGTTGCTGTCTACCAACCTACTTTTTTGTTTTTACAAATATTTGGTGTATTTATATGGAGGTCCATTAATTGTAGCTTTACTGTATATCCTTAATACAGTACAGTCAAAATTAGGCATATCTTGACAATGAAAAGATTCTTTAGAAATGTATTAAGTTTTGACTTGAGAACATGAAATTACACTTATATTTTTGTGTGAAGTACTGTACTACACAAAACTTGAGTAAAACCTCAATTAGTCCTAGAGTATACTTAACCAAGCATCTTCCTTATTTCCCTTTTCAGATCATGGCTCAGAACTTGGTGCCACTGTGTTCATATCAGTATGATCGGACATTTAACACCACCCGTATCCCAGGCATTCAGACAGATAAAATTGTTCACTTCAGTGACTCAACACACATAGCTGTCTACCATGCTGGGCGGTTCTTCAAAATGCCATGCTACTACAAGGGCAGACTACTCAATCCAAAGGAACTTCAGATGTAAGTCGTGAAAAGGTTGTGTTTTGCAGTTGTCAGTTTTTTAACTGATTACTAACAAGGTGAATAAATAAGGCCTGTGGGTTGGTATATTTTCTTTGTTTTTACATATTTTATATATAATGTTCCCTTAACTAAGACCTTCTGCATCATCCTCCACATAATGTTTTTACTTTTAACATGTAACTATTTGTCTTGCAGTCAGTTTGAGCGTATTCTGGCTGATGAGTCTGTACCAGAAAAGGGTGAAGCTAACTTAGGAGCATTAACAGCTGGAGAACGTAAACCATGGGCTGAAGCACGTACAAAATTTTTCAGCAAGGGAATCAATCGGTTATCATTAGCAGCGATTGGTAAGATTCTTGGAAAGGTGGATTAAGCACTGGGTGTTCTTGGCTTCATTATATATTTATAAGGAAATAATGTATTATTAACTTGAAACTCATTGAATTTTGAGACAGTATATGAAAGGCTTTTTTCTGAACTTTTTTTATTTGTAACTGGAAATAATAGTATTTTGTTTATTCCCAACAGAAAAGGCTGCCTTTGTGGTAGTCTTGGAAGAGGAGGAATATGACTACTGTGAAAATAAAGCGAGTCAGTTGGATAGGTTTGGGCGGGCTATGCTTCATGGCAAAGGTTATGACCGCTGGTATGACAAGTCCTTCAATGTCATCATCATGAAAAATGGCAGGGTAAAGATGGTGATTTTTTCTGTCTCTTAAGCACATGCAACTTCAGTGCATGCCCAAAGCTCTGTGTAGGTAAAGGTCATTGAATTTTAGTATTTTGGAATTTTTAAACACAATGTGACTTGTACAAGATGAATGTTTTGGTCCATGCTTCAAGATACCTTTTGCCAACAACTGACTCATAGTACTCTGCAAATGTCAAATTGTACATTTGTGTCCATGATTTCAAATTTGCTGATATTTTAGCAGATAATACTTATTTAGAGAGAATGGATCAAAGTAGAATGACATGGAAAGCATATAAATCTATAGGGGAAGGAAGGCGGGGTAGGGGTCGTCCTCGAAAGGGTTGGAGAGAGGGGGTAAAGGAGGTTTTGTGGGCAAGGGGCTTGGACTTCCAGCAAGCGTGCGTGAGCGTGTTAGATAGGAGTGAATGGAGACGAATGGTACTTGGGACCTGACGATCTGTTGGAGTGTGAGCAGGGTAATATTTAGTGAAGGGATTCAGGGAAACCAGTTATTTTCATATAGTCGGACTTGAGTCCTGGAAATGGGAAGTACAATGCCTGCACTTTAAAGGAGGGGTTTGGGATATTGGCAGTTTGGAGGGATATGTTGTGTATCTTTATATGTGTATGCTTCTAGACTGTTGTATTCTGAGCACCTCTGCAAAAACAGTGATAATGTGCGAGGTGTGGTGAAAGTGTTGAATGATGATGAAAGTATTTTCTTTTTGGGGATTTTTCCTTTTTTTTTTGGGGTCCCCCTGCTTGGGGGGAGAGGGGGCCAAATTGTTGAAAAAAAAAAAAAAAAAAACTTAGTAATAAATTTCACAAACCCCAAATAAAATTTGGACAGGGTTTGGTATGATCTGAAAAGTTTTGGGTTAACATGGATGGCCATGAGAACCCTCAGCTTAAAAGGGGGGGCAGCATTAGATGGTTTGCCGTGTGGGGGGTTTAAATTTGGCTTTCAAAATCTGGTTTCTCGATAATTTGACCCTTTTGACCCTGCCATCACGCTTTCTTCAGCACTTCATACCCATTTTGGGTATTGTGAGTTTGGGGATAAACAGTGGCCCCCCCCGGTTAACAATTTTTTCATTCCAGAAGTATGTTCGGTGCCAGTACTAAACCGAATTTTCCCATATGAAATATTGAAATTTGTTTTAGTCCTTTTTTCAAAACCCCAAACATACACTTCAAACGCACTTAAAATAAATACATTTAAAATAATTGGTCGCTTTGGGAGGGGATCTTTTATGGGGGGTTCACGTACAAATATACTAAAAAGTGTCAAAGAAGTTATAAGTATAGCAGGCGATTCTAATCTCAAAATAACAGTGGCTGGATGGGGAATCTTTATGCCCCCCTTTAAAATCAGGGGTTCCCTCAAGGTTTTTCCCCCTTTCTTGACGTTTCTAAACATCGTAGAATATGGATAAAAGCATTAGTTACGCTTGGTGATTCGGGAAATAGCCTGCCCACTTGCCAGGGTTTAAAAAGGGGAAAAATATTGACAAAACTTTTTTTTTTGTCCCAATGCATTAACAAAATTCAGTAATAGCATTTTTCGTCTGCAAAAAAATTTTTTAAAAAAACCCTTTCACTGGGCCCCAATTATATTAGGGCTTTGAAGCCAATGTTGGTCCCGTTAATATTTCATCAAAGTTTAGTGGCTTCCAGTTTTTCGGGGGGATAGAGGGTTGACCTTTATATGAGAGAATGGGTCTTGAGTAGTCAGTGTGCACAGTATAAAAAATCCTGCGCACGCAGGCAAATGAAAAAAAAAAAAAAATGGGTTTTTTGGGTTTTAAAACAGAAATTTGTGATGTGTTTTCATATGGGATTTTTTGGGTTTTTTTCTCATTTTCTTGGTCTCGTTTTTATTGGAAAAGGGGAAAAGTTATTACAGAAAAAGAGATGATTTTGGGAAAGGGTTTTAAAACTAAAAGTAGCTTGAAACGGGCCCCAAGTAGCGGAAATGTTCGAATTTTTTAAAGATCAAGCCTAAACAAAACCCGTTGTGTAAACCAATACATGTTTAAAGGGGGGGTCTAATGTGCTTTCACAAAAAGCGCTGAAAATTATTTTTAAACCCTTTTTACAATAATACAAATAGTCCCGAAAAAACAGAAAAACTTTTATTATTTTGTGTTTACCGGGGTTTTTGGAGAGGGTTTCGGGGTCAACGCCCCCCCGGTCCGTTTGAGGGCCAAAAGGGCCCCGTAGTGGAACAGGGGCTGATCAAAACCCGGCTGTTTTCTGCGGGGCCGGGACGCAAAAATGACGTTGAAAAACCCTCCCGGTGGTAGGGAAATGATTTTTGGTGTTTTCCATGTTCTTGAAGACAGCCAGGGGTTTTTTGGTAATCCCCCGGGGTTTTTGCTGGGAGGCAATTGGCAGTCTTGGGCCCCCGACACTTTTCTGTGTTGTCTCCAGTGTACTCGTGGCCCCCTTTCTTTTATGGAAAGGGAAAGTTGCTCTCCTGCCGAGTCTTTTTCTTTCATAGGGAAATGATTTTTAGTGCAGGTTTGGTGCCAATCCCTCCAAGGGCCTTCCAAGGTATATTTTCATGCATCTCTCCCCTGGGATTTGTGGGGAAAAAGATCAAGGCCTTTTAAAAGTTTTTGAGTAATTTAGGGTGCCTTAAACGTACTTGGTGTGCTGTGAAATTCTTTTTTACACTATCCAGGTCCCGCAAGGGCACCCCGCCTTTAAGGGGGGGCCCTTTGTTACAGCTTTTTTCCCTAGAGAAAAACAAGCTTTTGAAGGAATCAACATGGGGTTGGGGATCCCCCCTTTTAAGGTTCTAATTACCATTTCCCTTTTCCCTCCCACAATTTTGTGGCTTGGAAGGCGAGATTCTCTGACATTTCGTCCCAGGCCCCTTTACATTCTTTTCTGGTTTTTGTTGTATGGTTAAAAAATTTTTTCGGTACCCCGAAAAACTTGTTGAAAAAAAAATTCCCAAAAGGGAAAACAACATAATAAAAAAAGGGGGGGGAGGGCTGAACAGTGGGAAAAAGTTTTTTGTCTAGGAATGTTTTTCAAATTTTTTATTTTGGAAAACTATTTTGAAATTGGGGGCCCCTCTTGATTTGTATGAAATTGGCCAAAAAAACAAAATTTTTGATAAAAAATTGGGGATTGAAAAAGGGAAATGAGTGGTTTTTTTGTAAAACCCCCTCCTCACTTAACCCCTTTTTGGGGGTTTTCCCTCGTACTAGTATGTCTTCGCGTAGGGGGTTTTTTACGTCTAGTACGCATAAATTCAGCGGGCCCCCAATTCTCGCGCGAAAAAGGGTGAAAAGGCCCAGGGGGTGAGAGAATGGGTCTGCGTGGTCAGTTTTGCCGGGAGAAAAAAAAACTGGGGGCCCAGTGGTGCATTGTGGGAATGCCCCCTTAAATTAAAAAAATGTCCCCCATGGCCTTTGCGGGAAAAAGGCCCCCCTATTTCCCCGGCGAATTGGGACACTTTTGTTTCCCCGTGACAGTTTAAAAGTGAGGAAGTGCCAAATGAAAATGAGTTTCGTTTTTAGTGAGGTTTTGACCCCAAAATAATGACCATAATTTTCGGTAATAGTGAAGAAAAAACCCCGACGACCCTCCCCCTTTCCCCCTCGGGGCTGGGCCCTCGGGTTTTACGTTCCCGTTGTTCCAGAAACCCCAAAAGGAAAATTCTATTTTCCCAAATCCAGATCCCGATGAGAGCAGGGTTTATGATAGTGATAGTGAATAAAGGGAAATACAAAACTCTTCAAAAATAGGTTTTTAGTAGTGAAAGTGAAGGCAATTTTTTCCCCCGTGAACGTCAGTATATACGACGATATATGCGCTCCTTTTGGGAATGTGCCATATGCTATTCCAAGGGGAAAAAAAGTTATCTCGGGTACATCCCTGGCTGTACAACAGGAAAAAGACAGTGAAAATGGGCGAAGATAATGTTGCCAAAATTGGGATGGAAAAAAAGCGTGGGTTAGTGGGGCCGGCGGTGAGGCACCAGCAGTGGGCCATGCTGCCACCCCCGCTGCACCCCGCCCCTGCCTCAGCTGATCTAGAACAAAGGGGCCCCCATCCCCCATCCCCCCCCCCACCCCCACCTCCCAACCACAACCCCCCACAACCACAACCTTTCCCCAACCACAACCCCCCACAAACCACAACCACCCGTCATTTCCGTTCCCACCAGCAACCGCAAAACCCGGGATTGGCAGGAAGGGTGCAGTTTTGGGTTTCCAAAACCCCACCCCGTTTGATGGGACCAAAATGGAATTTCGGCCATTCTTGTGCACTTGGGAACAATGCCACGGGAAAAGGAATGTTTCGAGTTTTCTTTGACGAACCACGATGAAAAATTTGTCATGGAAAGGGAAAAACATACCCACGGTACACCATGGGAAACACAAAACCCTTTTCCCAAAAAAAACGTCTCACCAATGGAAAAGGAGGCAACCCGTGGCTGGCTGATCTTTTCTTTGCCACAATATGCTTATGCCACATGTTTTATAAAACACAAAGTTTAAAAACATACTGGTTTAAAAGACCCCTATTGCAACACCAAAGGGTTTTAGTGATATAATGCCAGTGAATCGATTTTGGGGCTAATGTTACGTAAAGCTTCATTCTCAGATAAAAAACCCGGCCCGACAGAATGACCCGGTTTTTATAAGATTAAAGGGAAAGTGTTTTTTGGGATCTGAAAAAGGAAAATTTTGTACTCATTTTTTTCCCTTTCAGGGAAACTTGTAATTTTACGAGGGCTTTGATTCTGTTTTAAAGGAAAAATCTTTTTAAGCAGTACCCTACCAAACAAAAAGGAAAACGCTTTGGGATAAAATTTTTTTGGCTTTGTGGGTTGGTTTTCAGTGGGGCTGGTATTGGATATTATTGTGTACACTGGAAGTTATACATTGCAAATTTCCCGGAAATTATTGGGCATCTCAGGTGATGTGGTTTCCCAACAATGATTGAACCATACCTTGGTAAGGGGATAAATTATTA